TGGGATGAGGCGACACTCGGTTTGCCACAAAAGGGCACACATTTTGACGAGTGGAATGTGAACAAGTGAGAAGTTGTGATAGGCCGGTAGTGGGAGTGTAACCGTTTTAGACAGAACGTTTGTCGAGGGATCGACTTCACTCACCTCTTTGGCGAATTCGTAGCTTGATGCTGAGAATGGCAAAACTCACTCACGTTTTGAGAATGTACTAAATCCACTGTCTGATGCTGGGAATCATGACAACTACGATTGCAGACGACTTCGGACTAGGTGCATGCTGCTAAGTCGCCCTGACAACAAGACCAAGTTACGAAAACGATGTCAACCCACTTGTAGATGGTTTTTACAGTTTGGAGTTCCGAAGAATTATGGAGGAAATGCCAAAAGAGACTGCGCCAATGTAGGTACTGACTGCATTCGTAGACCGGCGTTGTCCACATGTGACAATCCCATTTCCTGAGATCGGCATAAGGAATGTGATCAGAACACATTCTGGAGCCTGGATTTGTTCAGTTAATCTCGACATCTGACAACAACCACCAGAGACTGAGACCCAGTGACTTTTTAATTCTATTATCCCAACGAGATGGCATACCAAACTCTTTGTGTCCCATCGCGAGCGGATGCCAAAAGCCGATAGAAAGGACACAGAGATTAAGGCTATTTCAGTAAAATATCACTGCCTGTATCCCAGAGGTTGTCGCAAAGTCATACTTCGACTAAATATAATCTTCTTCACACTGCATTACAGAATATGATTTAAATCCAAATCAAATTAATATTATTCCTTTTGGTGCTAATTACCCAAACCGACCTTCCATTTCAGACGTCTGTTTACCTGCTCTGTTCATGCCGAATCGAAACGCATCTGGTACCTGCTACAATCCGAGGGCTCATCTCTATTTCCACCCAAACGGGGCCAGTGGAGTTCGAATATCCCAACCGCCTTCAATGTTGAGCCTGCCGGCTTTGACAAATGTACGATTTATTAGTTCACTGTCCAGATTATTAGCATCAATATACTTAGTATTATCAATATTATCATAGTAAGATTTATTCATACAAAAGCAAGAAAGAACAAGTCCAACAGCAGCTCTGCGAGAGGTTCTGCAATTTGTCGAGGCATTATTGCAGGGGCAAGATGAAGCAAGTCCGCAACATACCACTGAATCATACTCTAACTTATTTTTCATATATAAGTAGGCTTTCGAGATTGCCACTAGATCATATAAATGCAATGTTTGAGGTGATAAAGGAATGGAATTTAAATCCTCCCACAATCATATGAGAAGAAGTCACTTTTCCGTTGAATTTCACAAAATCTTGCTGTACCAAAAAGTATTATCATCCACACACATGTAGACTGCAGTTTCGATCTCTCCCAGGTGTCAGTAACACCCACAGCGAGACTGGAATCATGACAGTGCAGTGGATGATCTCGACACCTTAACTACTAAGTCACATTGTTACGACCCAAGTCTTGGGTCGCTGGGCAGATGTGAATTTTAGGGAAGGCCAGGCCTTTTCCCATATCACATTTTGTGTTGCTGTTGTAGACGAATCAAGGCTGTAATTGCCTGTATTTTGAAGAATTCCTTAATGAAACAATGTGATATGACTTTGCATTTTAAAGAAAAGGTTGGTTGGAGGGAATTCATGATGTGGTTGCACCGGAAACAAAAGGAGTCCTCGGCTCACTGTCCTGTAACCCAGAAGAAACTGTGCTAAGCTTTCGTTTGTACCATGACAGGTATCCATACATTAAAAAAAAGAACAAAAATATACTA